GCTGAGTATGTGTTGTGTGGCAGAGCACTCCTGGCCATAAACAGGGCTGTGGTCTGTCCCCAGCACCACAAAATGAAATGAAAATGAAAGAGACTGAAGACACACAGAATGCTTGCCTAGCAGGTGCAAGGGCCCTAGATTCAAGGACGGGCTCTATAAAAACATACAAAAAGGATAATAACCAACACTTGGCTATACCTATCTTTATATCAGACACCACAGAAGATGTCTCACCCATTTATCTTTTGGCCAAAAGCTATTTCTAGAACTTACAGCCTTCCACAATGCCACAGTTCTGGCTGGAATGTGAGTCTTTCCAGTTTGGTTTGTTAGCTTGTTTGTTTGTTTGTTTGCTGAGATAGAGTCACTTGTAACCCATGCAGGCCTCAAACTCAATATACATTAGCCAACAATGACTTCTGAACTTCCGATTCACCTGCCTCCACCTCCCAAGTGCTGGGACTGCAGGCATGAGCCACAAAATTCAGTTTATGTAGCACTGTGGACAAAACCCAAGGCTTCATGCATGCTAGGCAAGTACTCCACCAAGTGAACCACATGCCCCCACTGTCCATATCTTAATGTCTTTGAGGACACCAAGGAGGCCTAAACAAGGCCACAAAGAGGCTACCAACCTCATCCAGCAGCCCCACTGACAGGCAGGACAACCCAGCAAGGACACAGTTAAAGACCAGCTCCAAGCCTTCCCACGGACCCCTCTGTGGGACGAGCTGGAACCCTATCTTTGTCTCTGTGTGGCCTTAGGAGGAATTCCAAGTCCTGCGCAAGAACTCCACTGTGGGGCCATTTGACCCGGTCACTGCACACTGGGCAGCAAGCGGATATGACCTGGAACTTGGGAACCACATGACCTGCCTGCTCATGGCCAGAGCCAACAATGGGTAATACAGGCCATAGAAGAACAATCCCCTTAATACCGTTGCACAGATGTGTCCATCTGCAACTTCAGGAGTGGAATTTTCCAAATACCCTAAAGTGGGAGATAATGAAATGAATCATCATGCAGTCATGATATGGACTTTCAGACATATGTTAAACCGGGGTTGAAAATAAGTTGGATTTTTTTGTTTTGTTTTTGTTGCTTTATTTTGACACAGGGGCTCACGACTGAGCCCAGGCTAGCCTTAAACTCACAATTCTCCTCCCTCGGCCTCCTGAATCTGCAAGTAATTATTACATACAAGGAAAATAGCAGGTCAAATTGACTTGTTGGTTATTTGGGTTTTTTGTTTTTTGTTTTTTGTTTTTTTGTTTTTTTGTTTTTTTTTTCTCGAGACAGGGTTTCTCTGTGTAGCTTTGCGCCTTTCCTGGAACTCACTCGGTAGACCAGGCTGGCCTCGAACTCACAGAGATCCGCCTGCCTCTGCCTCCCAAGTGCTGGGATTAAAGGCGTGCGCAACCACAGCCCGGCTATTTGGGTTATTTTTATTACATTTATTTGTGTGGGGTAGGGGTGGGGTAGGGGTGGGGTAGGGGTGAGGGGTGCACGTGCATCACTATGCCTGTGGGGAGGTCAAAGAGGGACTTGGAGGAATCAATTTTCTTCTTCCATCAGGTGGGTCCTATGGATCAGACTCAGGAGAAAGGGGGCTGATTGCTCAAGCTCCTGCCTCAGTGCCCGCCGTGCCGTGATAGAGCATCCCTGCAAGCTATGGCTGTGGGTGGGTTCCTTTCCTTTGCTTAATAACAAGCATGCATGCACGCACGCACGTGTGTGTCTGTGACCCACTAAGCTTGGAGCTTAAAGGAGAAGAGATCAAATCAGTTCAAAGTGTGAACGAGATGCCACACCCCATGGCTGGCTCGAGTCAACTACATATTACCAGGCGAAACAGAGACCTGCAGCCTCCCACGGCTATGACTGAACTGAGACAACATGAAGCTCCGTTGCTGCAGAAGGAGCCTTAGTCATGTGGCCACATGATATAGACATCTATAAACATTTCCAAAGCAGCCCCTCTCCCAGGTGTGAGATGAGTCAAAGCCGAATTGGTCTTGGGAGAAGATCTTATTGGTCACAGTGTGAACAAATATGCTGACCTCAGGGCACGGTGGTGCAAGACCCTCATCCCAGCACTAGGGAGACAGAAGCAGGCAGAGCTCTGAAAGTCCAAGGTCAGCCCAGTCTGCATAGAAAGACCTTGTCTCAAAAACAAAACAAAACAAACAAAAAAAGCCCCAAGAACTAAGTTTCAGAATACGGCCCGCTATGTAACAAATTAAAAATTGTGTATCAAATGAAAGACAGGTTTTATCATCTGCACAGACCATAAAACCGAAAAAAATAGCCAAAGAAGTGAAGCTTTGTCTGTCTTCACTATTAGACACTTGGGACTCCAAAGCAGGGGCCGTCAAGATGGCCCAGTGGGTAAAGGTGCTGTTGCCAAGCCTGATGCCCTGAGTTCAATTCCTGTAACCCACATGGTGGAAGGAGAGAACAGACATCCTCATGTTATCCTATGACCCCCACGTGAATGCCATGGCACACACACCCCACACACATAAATATAATAAAAAAAAATTATAACAGAAAGAATCCAAAACTTCTTTTCTAGCATCTCCAGATATCCAATACAAAAGAAAGGAAGGAAGGAAGGAAGGAAGGAAGGAAGGAAGGAAGGAAGGAAGGAAGGAAGGAAGAAAATAATGTTGGTATAACTAAGAAACACTCATTGTGCCTTCCCCAACCCAACCTTATCTAAGTCTGTCCATTATCTTTATGTGTGTGTGTGTGTGTGTGTGTGTGTGTGTGTGTGAGAGAGAGAGAGAGAGAGAGAGAGAGAGAGAGAGAGAGAGGGAGGGAGGGAGGGAGGGAGGGAGAGTCCTTCCTCAGAAGGCACTCACCTTGTTTTTGAGACAAGGGTCTCTCACTGGGACCTAGGGCCTACCTGATTAGACTGGATAGCCAGCAAGCTCCAGGGATCCACTTGTCTCCACCTCCCTGGCTTCAAAGGCGTCACCACATCTGGCTTTCTGTCTTGGGTGTTGGGGTTCAAGCCCTCAATCTTGAGTGGCAAGCACTGCACCAGCTGAACTCTCTTCCCAGCCCCTAGGTCTGCTTTCTGTTGCTGTAACAGAGTACCTGAGGCAGGCTAGCTAAAAGAACCAGAGGTTCTTGGGCTAGGGAACTAGCTCAGTATGCTTGTTTACCGTACACAAGACACTGGTTTTCATCCCCAGTGTTGCATAAACTGGGTGTGCTGGTGTACACCTAACCCAGCACTCAAAAGGATCGGGAATATGAGGCCTTCCTCAGCTGTTAGAGCCAGCTTAGGACACAGAACACAGAGGCTCTGAAACTTCCAAGTCCATTTGCTGGCTTCAGTTCAAAGGTGGTAAATATGCAGGTGTGTGCAGAAGGGGCAAGACCAGCCGCACTTTGCAACAACCAGCTCTAGGGAGAGTTAATCCAGTCTCTGAGATCGAGCACTCACTCAAGTGAAACAGTTTTATCTCTTAAGATCTGATCCCTTAGCCGGGTGTGTGCACGCCTTTAGTCCCAACACTCAGGAGACAGAGCCAGGAGGATGTCTGTGAGTTCGAGGCCAGCCTGGTCTACAAAGCGATTTCCAGGACAGGCTCCACAGAGAAACCCTGTCTTGAAAAACAAAAACAAAAAAAGAAAAAGAAAAAAGGCCCACCTCTCCCTCTCCAGCCACCACGGAGGCCATCAAGTTTCCACGTGTGGCCAGGCATGCTGGCACACACTTGTAATCTGAGCCTTCAGGAGGCTGAGGCAGAAGGATTGCCACTTGTGCAAGGCTGACCCCAGCCACATAGTAAGTTTCAGGGAAGCCTGGGCTATATAGAGACACTTTCTAAAAAAAAAAAAGCATGGCAAGATGGCTCAGCAGTTCAAGGAACTTGCCAAAGAAGCCTGGAGACCTGAGTTCAATCAATTCCTGGAACTCATATAAAGTTGGAAGGAGAGAACCAATTCCACAATGTTATCTGACCCCCCCCCCCACGTGTGTGCTGAGGCATACAATAAAAATAATAGATATAATAATAATCTTTCAGGGCAATCAAATCAAATCAAAATGCACACAAGATATTAAAGACCAGATTTTTTTTAAAAAAAAAATGCAAAATACCTCACAAATAATGTGTTCAGATGAACTACATCCTGAAATCATGTATACGAAGTATTAATGAAAATATACTCTTGTGAGGTGTGGGGACACCTAGCCCTAATTTCAGCACTCAGGAAGCTGAGACTGGAGAATTAAGTTCAAGGCAAGCCTGGGCTATACAGTTAGATCAAGGCCAGCCTGGGGTACATAGCAAGATTGTCTCAAAAAACGATAAAGAATGACCAGCGCTCCAGAGCCAGACAGATCTCTGTAAGGTCAAAGGACAGCCCGGTCTACAAAGAGGATTCCAGGCCAGCCAGGAATTCCACAGAATGACCTGTCTCAAACAAAACAAAGCCGAAAATGAAAAAAGAAACCAGGGCTCAGCGAGGACCCCAGAGACTCAGGTACATAGTCAGCTCCTTCTGAGTTCTGGGCCTCAGTTTCTCCACCTAAAAAGAGGAACTATCTATTCCTCTGCCTTGCCTTGAGAGTGGACAGCAGGTGCGTGCAAAACCCTTTTTAAATGTTACCACGGAGCCCCACAAGGATAGAGCAGTTCCCCCCGCCACCCCCGCCCTGCTGGCGTCGCAGAATGCTTTCTAAGGATCATCTCATTTAATCCTCCCGTGGTCCCTAACTCGCAAATGGGGAAACTGTGCTCTGGACCGATGAAGCGCCTCGCCCAAGGGATAAAGGAAACGCGGAGAATCCGCTGCGTCGCGCGCAAAAGCGGGATGATAATTTCCACTCCATTACCAAGACAGTGCTGCCTGGTTCCTGGGTTGTTCTAGCCCCGGGCAATGGGGTCTGTGCATCGAACCCAGTTCTCCAGGCAGTAGGAACAGGAAAGAGGGGCCTCAGCGCCCTGACCCTTGTCTACCACCTCCCAGCTCCGCTGCTCACCTTGCGTATTTGGTTTTCTGGAAATCCAGCAGCCTGGCCAGAGTGAACATCGCCGCGGTTCCATCAGCGCCCAGCCCCGGGCTGGGACGCGGGAACGCAGGGAGTCGCTGCAGGAGGCGCAGCAGGTTGGAAGGGCGTCGGATTCTACCGCAGCTCCAGGGCCCTGAACAGACCCGATCGGCTGCCCCTGGAGCCCGAGCCCCCGAGCCTGGAGTCTCGGGATAGCAAATCCCGAGCAGATGGTGGCGGGGGCGGGGCGGGGGCGGGATATGGGGCGGGGGGGGGGGGGCGTCGCTGCCAATCGTGCGACTGGGAGGTCCCCTCCCTCCTGTTAGCGTCTCCCCGTGTCCCCTCCACCCCATCGCTTTTTCAGCAAGCATAAGACAGCTTGAACTAGACTGAACCGCCCCTGTCACCGCTTGTCATCCAAGGCAGCGCTTCAAGCCACAGGGGACGCTTGGGGACTGGACCAGGTGGCACCCTCAGTCTACTTGTTGCTGGCTCTTACCCCTGTGCACCTCTGAGAAGCCTGTCAATCCTGAATCCTTCCTACTACCCAGGACTTTGTGACTCTAGGAATTGTCTGTCCACACACACACCGGACCCAAAGACGGGGACACTGCAGCAGGTCCAGGATCTTCACCCCCAAGTCCATCTTCACATCTTCAAACTCCAGCTTTCCTTTTATTGTTACTTTATTCCATTTTAATACATTTCATTTTTATTCTATGTGTGTATGTGTGCATGTCCGTGTAAGGGTATGTGCAGTGCATGTGCCTGGAAGTCCGAGGTGTAGGATCTCCTGGACTGGAGTTACTGGCAATTGTAAGCCAAATGAAGTGGGTGCTGGGACTCGAACTCCAGTCCTCTGAACCAGCAGCAAGCACTCTTAACCGCTGAGCCATCTCTCCGGCCTCCTACATTTATATTATATTATATTAATCATGCACTTGGAAGTCAGAGGACAACTTGCAGGAGTTGGTTTTGCTGAGCCATCTCTCCAGCCTCCTACATTTATATTATATTATATCATATCATATCATATCATATTATATCATATTATATTAATCATGCACTTGGAAGTCAGAGGACAACTTGCAGGAGTTGGTTTTGTCCTAACACCATGTATAACCTGGGGCCAAAATTCAGGTCTTCAGGTTTGGTGGCAAGCATGTTGACCTGTTGAACCAGCTCACCAGCCCCCAAATTCAGCTTTCTGCTTTAGGGGACCTTGTTTGGGGGACACAGGAATCCAATCTGCCTGTGGAAATTTTGAACACCCCTGAGGGAGCTGCTGGAGGAAAGATGGTCTTTTGATTTTCAACTTGATGGGATCCAGAATCACCAAAGACACAATATCTGGGCACGTCTTCGAGAAGTTATATTGGTTAGGTTGAGGTGGGAAGGACTACCCTAATGTGGACTGTACCTTTCCCTGGGCTGGGGATAGCCTTGAATAATAGAGAGAATTCGAACTCAATGCCAGCATTCCGGTCTCTCGGCTTCTTTTAGTTGCTGTTGTTTTTCAAGACAGGGTTTCTCTGTGTAGCCCTGGCTGTCCTGGAACTCTTTCTGTAGACCAGGCTGGCCTCAGACTCAGAGATCCACCTGCCTCTGCCTCCCAAGTGCTGAGATTAAAGATATGCACCTCCACCACCTGGCATCTCTCTCTGCTTGACAGACAGTAGATGCAATGTGATCAGATGGGTCCTCAAGTGGATAGGAAGTCCTCTCCTCCTTAATCTTAATCAACAGCTTCCCCAGCTTGAGTCCACAGTTTCCAGATCATTTTAGTTAATTTATTTTTACCCAGTGCTAGAGAGAAAACCCCGGCCTCACCAATGGTAGATGGACATTCTATAGCTAAGCTACAACTCCAGTCCCTTTTTATTTTTTATTTTGAGACAGTCTGGCTAAATTGCTCAAGCTGGCCTTGAGCTCACTCTGTAGCCCAGGCTGACCTTGAACTTGCAATCCTTCTACGACTTCAGCCTCCTGAGCGGCTGGCATGTGTCTGTACTGCCAGGCCTCCTCCTTCTTAGAACAATGTTTGTTTGGTGTCCTGTCGATTACTGAGAAAATGCCACCCACACCCTCTGCATCCAGGGAGCCAGAACAAGAAACAAACTGACAAAAGACTGCCTGAATCACCTCTGTTTCCCACATGTTGGCTCAGAGTGGGCACACACGGCCCTGTCTGGGCAGGACCAGAGGGTTATCGGTAAACGGTGGGAGGAGATCGCGGCAGGAGTGGCAGGAAGTGGGAAGGGGTTAGGGGAGAATGAGAACGCTGAAGGAAGAGGCAGAAGGCAAGACCCTGGGGGACTTAGGAAATAAGGCCGGCCAGCCTCAGAGGTTAGCTTAGAAGCTCAAGAAGATGTCTAACATAGTCATCCCAGCACTTGGATACAAAGGCAGGAGAGGCTTAAGTTCAAGGCCAGCCTGGACAATTTAGTAAGATCTTATCTCAAAGGAGAAGAAATCAAAAGAAAGCAGGACATATTACTCCAGTAGAAGACCTGCCTAGAATCTCCCTCCCAGTGAGGGGCCGGGAGAGTGGCTTATCAGTAGAGGGTCTACCTAGCATGTGTGAGACCCTGAATTTAGTTTTTTGGAGAGAGAGAGAGAGAGAGAGAGAGAGAGAGAGAGAGAGAGAGAGAGAGAGAATTAACAAAAATGCCACAATGAAGCTCACTACTCTTTATGCTAACTTCAAAAACCAATTCTAACAATGAGGCGGAAGGAATGGCTGGAAGGCCTGTGAACAGGTGAGGAGAAGGCATGTTCGGCTATATCCTCATGTATCCTAGTTGGGATGAAGCTGCGTGTTCATTTGCAGTTCATGGTAAAATTGAGTAACAAGGCCAGATATGGTAGTTAACGCCTGTAATTCCAGCATTCGGAAGGCTGAAGCAAGAAGGTCTTGCATTTGAGACTAGCCTGAACCTCATAGTAAGACAAGGACAACCACGAAGGAACAAAAACCCAGAGTGCGGGACTGGAAATACACTCAGTGGGTAAAGTTCTTGCCATGCAAGCATGAGGACCTGAGTTCAAATCCCTAGCACCCATATATAATCTGGGTGCAATGATATCTATAATGCCAGTTCTTGGGGTACAGAGACAGTGGGATCCTGGGAGCTTTCTGGCCAGCCAGCCTAGCCCAGCTGGTAAGCACCAGATCTAATGAGAAACCTCATCTCAAAGAATAAGGGAGAGCCTTTAGTCCCAGCACTCGGGATCACCTAAGGCCATCTGCATATCAGATTTTACATTACAATTCATAACAGTGGCAAAATTACAGTTATGAAGTAGCAACTATGAAGTGGGAAACAGCAAGAAAATAATTTTATGGTTGGGGGTCACCACAACATAAGAAACTGTATTAAGGGGTTGAAACATTAAGAAGATTGAGAACCACTGCTCTAGAAGAGGACACTCAATGTTGGCTTGTGACCTCCATGTGGACAAACACACACACACACACACACACACACACACACACACACACACACACGCACGCACACAGGCACCCCCCCACACACACAGAGTGAGCCAGGGTTATGTGGCCATTGTGGTATGGTATGAATGGAGGATGCTGGGATCCAGGGGAACCAAGACATTCCTAAGGGACGCAGCTCATGGAGACAGGCTCTATGCATTTGAATCTCATTTTCTATACCCTGAGTTCACTGTCAAGCACAACTCCCAGAAACTCTAGTAACTTCTACAGACCTCCAGGAGACAAAACCCAACAGACACAGGGAGAGGTAAGGCCCATGTTACACACTCCTGGGCTGACCCGCTTACCCATATCTCTCCAGGTCTCCCAGCAATATCTCTGCCCAGCCCTCAACCTCGACTCACAAGATTCCTGCTGAACATGGCCTGCTCCTCCCTGATCACCTTTCTCCCCAGAGAGTCCAGGCAGGATCCCAAGTGGCCACTGGTAGCCACAGCTCCCAGGAGGCTTGAATCAAATCTCTCCAAGGCTGTGTCCTTTTTGTCCTGGGCTGTTTGTCCACACCCGCTGCTGTCCATCTTCAGACAGGTCTTGGCAGTGGGCTCTGTGGAGACCGGTAGGAGACCCCTGGAATAAACCGCGAGTCTACAAATGGGTTCCCCCTCCTCCATCAGCTAAAGAAGTTGAATAAAAAATAAGTTACTATTTTTACTGCTGGGATGTGGTTGTTATGGCAACAGAGGGCCTGACTCTTGCTCCAGAGTGGGGGTTGGGCCATGTTTGAGAGAGAAGAGGGAGGAGTGGCTGGTAGGGTGGTCAGCAGCAGGAAGAGGAGCCTGAGGACCACAGGTTTGCCCTCTACACATCACAGGGACTCTCGGCCACAAATCTACATCTTCAGAGTTCCTCACCACTCTACTTCCTTTCTTCCTCCCTTCCTCTCTTCTTTCCCTCCTCCCTTCCTTTTCTTCTTCATATTTTTGCAGTGTTGCAGATTTAATCCAGGACTTACATGTGCTACCCAAGCACTTACTGACACAGGGAGGCTGGAGTACTGGAAGAGGAATTCTGGCTCAGTGGTAAAGCACCTGCCTAGAATCACCAGTGAGGGGCTGGGGTGTGGCTCAGTGGTAGAGCACCTGCCTAGAATCCCACAGTGAGGGGCTGGGGTGTGGCTCAGTGGTAGAGCCCCTGCCTAGAATCCCCCAGTGAGGGGCTGGAGTGTGGTCAGCGATATACATCATATTTTAAGCCCTAGTTTTCATCTCCAGCACTGCAATAAATAAATGAATGAATAGATAGAAAGATGACAGATAGATAGATGATAGATAGATAGATAGATAGATAGATAGATAGATAGATAGATAGATATTTTTAAGAATAATAGAAAGGAGCCACATAAGTGACTGGTACTTAAATTTATTTGTTGAACCAAGGAACAACCAGTTTTTAATTGCTCCAGTTAAAGCATATATTGTTAAGCAAAGCTTGTTGTCAAGCTGGGGTACAACTGTGTGGCACAGCCTTCACCAAGCATACAGGACACCCTGGGTTCCATGTCCAAACCTTCCAAGAAAACCTTCCTTGTAAGGTGTTGCAGTGACACTGGAGTCCCCTATTAGACCCCTTTAGGTCTCTTTGACCCTAAAGCCACCTGCACTGTTCAATCAACATCAATTCACACTGACTGTTCTGGCTTCGGGAAGTGAAGGAGAGTCGTAGGGAGTCCCCACCACTCTGGATTTCTAACTTTTCTCTGGAGGCCCTGCCAAGTCCTTGGCATATTCTCAGAAGGCCAGACTCTGCCATCCTGGAACTTCGTGACACCTTCTGACCTGCTGCTTCTCTTCTTTATGGTGGCTTTAATCCACAATCCACGGGTTCTAAATGGGCTAGGGCAGCCAGGAAGAGGCA